TAAACGACACAGTTTAATTCCTTTTGACTACTGCACTCAAAAATCATATGTATTCCCAGGTGGAAAGGTAAAGATTATTAATGTTGAACTAGAAGAAATGACCTTGTAGAATGAAATAGACTAGATTGTGTGAGGGTTTTATACTATTCATATGAAAGAACAACTTTTCCATCTTTGAAAGACTTTTTTTTCAAAATTTATAATAACTGGGGGCAGAATTTGCAACCCTATTTACACTCCCCTCCTACTCATGAAACACCCTCTAATCCATCAAATGGTTTATTTGCCTCCTTTCCTTTACGGTTGTTCTTGCCTCCTGCTATTTATATGTGGGTCTTTGTGTCCTTGATTTCTATTCACACTAAGCATAAGACACCTTGTACTTTTCAGGGACCATATTAAAATTAAAGTAAAATAAAAATCCAAACAAACATCCACAAGAAACCCACATTACTATTATTGAAACAAAATTATAATTATAGATTTAATAGAGAACACAAGATCTACACTTAGAATAATTATACCTGCATCAGAGAAAGTAAAGCTAGACTCAAAAGGAACTGTACTATTTAAAAATGTAATGAATTTACCTAAAGAATTCACCAACCAATAAAGGAACTAGTCACTGAGTATTTATTATAAGCTAACCAGAGCTTTTGTACATTTTAAATACCACTTAAGTGATGACATGAACAACGGTAGTCACTTATGTATGCAATGTAATAAAAAATAGTAATTGCCTAAAGATTCAAAAATAAAAAATTAATAAAAATTGGTCAAGCTCTAATAGGTCAAACAAAATAAAGCCATAGAGTCAAAGTACACTCACAATCCAGAAATGGTGTATTGAGAAAATTTTTGGTGAAAAGACAAACAAAACATAAAAAGTATTAGGATGAAGACCTTGAATTTTTTATAGCAATTGTGTTGGTACTTGACCACCCTTGTGCAGGGAAATCAGACAGTGGTCAATGTACAATAGCCATATGAACAAGGAATACAAAGATGAGTACTAAAATAATATGTGATGATGTTAGAGGAAAAGAGAAGTGTACTCGATTACCTTTCAGTAAGTGAAAATAAAGGCTGGCCTATAAAAAGTTTGAGTTTACATGAGAAAAAAAATTATCTTTTCTTTTTATAGTCTGGATACATCAATTTGACTTTATGTTCCATGTATTTAATTATTTAAAAGAAAATAGTTTTACGCAAAAAGTGTGAGATTTTATACTCATCAGCAACACATGTGTGTAACTGTGTGTCTATTTAAATAGGCATTTGGAAAACAAAGTTGTAAGTTTTAGAAATCTTAAACAATGTATCCAGGAAGATTCTCTAATTTTCATACACTAACTGCATACCTAAGGCAGTTAACAATAGATTTAAATTTGTAAAATGGAGTGAGATTCCCAAGTCCTTTAAAGTTAACATTAAATTAAAAAGTTCAACATTTCACTCATGAATAGAAGTTCTTTAATCCAGGCATGTTTTATTGGTTTCCTACCAGATGACATGTTAATTTAGCAAACCTATACTATTTAATTCCCACTCACTAAGTTAAAAAAAGACAAATCTGTTATGTATAGGGTCAATATGAGTCATCTTCTACTAGATGGTACCTAACCACAACAACAAAAAGTTAAAAACAAACACAAAAACTAAACTGAAAATAACAAGCCAGCATGGCTAGAAAGTAAGAAAGAAAAGAGAAATAATTTTTTAAAATATAACTATATAATACAATTATAGATTTTTAAACATCATTTCAAAATTAAATTCTTCAATTTCTATTTAATGTTGATTTACTTTTGACTTGTTTGATTCTCTTGGGAGAAAAGAAGCCAATCACTCCACACATAAATGTGAATGATCTATATTTGAACAGTGAAAGTGAAACTTTAGTATTTTCATTGTAGGAAAAGTTAAACTTTAGTATTCTCATTGCTAGAAAATAAAAGTAGAGTTGAAAAGAAATGCTTTACTTTCACATAAGGGGTATAACTAAAAAACTAGGTAGAGAATTTAAACCAAATAATTTCCACTAGAAGTGAAGGAATATAGAAATTATATGCATGGGAAATTTCCTAGTGGTAAGGAGCATCAAGCTGGGGGTTTTGTTGTTGTTGTTGTTGTTGTTGTTTTAATTTTTTTATTTCACATTCCTAGAATTGAAAATGCTTTGTAATTATAAAATAAATCTCTCATATTGAGTGGCTGAGACATAAATTTTTATTCCACAAATAAAACATTATACATTTTACGTGCTTTCCATTATAATTGTATCACTAATTTTTTTTGTTTCTGTAAGAATTCTAAATACTTCTCTTCCTGTTAAAAAAGTATAAAAGTCAACTTTTAAAATAGAAAAAAAAGGATTAAAGGTGGAAATGGTTATCATTTGTCATTAAATTTAATTTTAAAAGGTAAGGAACTGATACAGAAAATTGCTACTATGATAATTGGTACAGCTTCTCTTTAAAAAATTGTAGTTGACTGTTTCAGGTCACTTCATCTCAGTCAGTCCCTAAGAGAAAAATGAGAACAGCCTTTTACAGGCAAATCTGCTCTCTGATTTGCCTAAATGTTACTAGTTTCCCAATAACACAAGACTCGTTTTTAATGAAATCTTGATGTGGGCTAATTCACTTTCATTATTATGGCTGTAAAAATAATCAACTTTAAACAATCTACACAAACTTGCTAGCTGAAGAGCAACCACTGATGGACTCACTTCACCCACAAAAAAAGCAGAGAACAGTCCCCCCACTATTTTTATTTATATCCCTTGATTCCATATGCCAATAATTATTATTTAGCCTAACATCTTCCTAATAAACCAAAATTAGGGGATTCTGTAGGAATATTACATTGCTTAATTAACTAGAAATTGTTTTGATCGTCTTATATTTATATAGCACCTTGCTCCAATTTTTCAAATACTGTAATTTTTTTGCTCTTTTTAAATCATGGCATTTATTGTTATTTAAGTAGCCACAGCTTTAGCATAAATGTACATAATGACCTACCAAGTGCCTTGTACTAGTGTAGGGAGTGGGTGTTCCAAAGCCATTGCACCCTTCTGAATATAAAGGAGATATATAAATCGCTAGGTAGATCAAGTCTAATTATTTCAAGCTTTACCAAAATTACCTGATAACACTTAAAAAAAATCTTAAAACTATTCTGCCTGAAAAGAAAGTGTGTTTTAATAATTTACTTTTTATGCTCAAACAATGACTTGTAAATAGGATTATAGATTTCCACTAAAGCCAAAGGAATATTGGAAAACTACCCCTCTGTCAAGAGTATCAAGGTGATGAATACACACATTTCTTAACAGAGATCTTTATGTTAAAACAATCAAACTCCTGCAACTTGTCTGGAAGGCCTTCATAAGGTTAGATATATATTAGCCTGTTCATAGAAACAGACATATCCAAAGAGCACTACTGCTATAAAAATGTTCACAAAGCACTATTTAGGGTAATTCAACAATCCACTTAGTTCAAACATTGGTTAGCAAAACTATTGAATAAATGTTATGAAAATTTATAAAACTCATTGGGATTAATTTTGAAAGGAACATAGCTACTCAATGTATTTCTTTTTTCATTACCTTAATGAATCTATACATGAGAAGCAGGTTGATAATGTCTCACTATGCTCTACAAAATTCACAGTTTGTTGGCTATAGAACAAATATGCATATATGATGTGCAATGACAGGAAAGTTAAAAAGCTTTAATCTTAACAACTAACAGCATGGTCAAGTGTTATTAGGGTAAGAGTTTAGAAATAATGTAAATGACACAGCACAACTTTTTAAAAGCACATGGCTCTCTCTCAACAATCCTATGAGTTTCAGCTGGGAAATACTATTTATATACTTAGGGTGGACACTGAAATTGTACAGACAAAATTATCAACTAAAACTTTTATAAGATTTTCATATTATTAATTCTGAATTCTGAAACTGTTTAGGTTCTCTCTACAGTCTCAGAGAAATCTTTAACTTTTTTTTGTTATCTTTTTCACCTTATCAAACTTGAAAACTTCCTAAAGCAAGTCCTTCAAAGGAGAGCACAGAAATAAACTGCACTTTAATCCCTCAATTCCTGGCTTTAATTGGATGAGTGATTGGGGGAGGCTTCTGTTTGTTGTGGTGCCCTCTAACGACGAGATAGGTCTTGCTTTAATAACCTCTCCATGTGCAATTTGTTTCAGCATTTACACTGTTGATGGTAGGAAGCAATCCTCTTTAATGGATGCTAAAGAACTTCAAGTGAAATCTGTAATTGACAAAGGCTTCATCGAAACAGTCAATTAAGAATAAAATTAACAAGAGGCTCTACAGGAAAACCACTCAAAGCTTTCACAGAATACAGCTCTAGGAAAATATTTAGTAAAAATAAAAACTTGAAAGAAGCAGATATAGGTTCTTCCACCTTTTTAATTGCTTCCTGGGGCTGTGTACTAGTTTAAAAGATGACTACACACAGAATTAGCATTATTTAAATATGGAGAAATAACCTTCAAAAAGTATAGGGGGAGGGGATCCTAAAAGAAAGTTGAGACAAGCTCAGTACCTACCCACTTCTTCAAAACATAAAGCTCAGTTTTGGAAACTCAAGTTTAAAGGAATAATTTGTTGATGACAAAAACAAAAGTGCTTTAAAGAGACCAGGAACAAGTGCGGGCAGTAAAAAGGGCACTTCCTTTCCCCCAGGATTCCGGAAACCAACTACACTCATTAACACAGACTTGCACTCCTGAAGGCATTTAACACAAGAGCGCAGGAGAGAGTACGAAAGGATCAGAAGTACGCGGCTTCCCTCTTGGCTCACTCCTCCAGTGTAACTCCGGTCTCCTCTACAGCAGCTCGTTTACCTGGGGCGCTAGGTAAGTCTGGAGGGCGGGTCTCAGGTGCCTGAGTCCGCAGGTTTAAGTGGAAGGGTGGGCGGTGGGGAGGCTCAGGGTGGGGAGGCGGAGGTAGCACTCACCTTGAGCAGCTTGCAGCGGATCTGCGCGGAGACCATGTGGCTGTTGCGCAGGTTGCCCACCCGGAACATGAGCGTGAGTTTGCCGTCCCTCATGGAAATCACCGCGTGCTCGCTGAACATGAGCGTCTCGGCGCGCTTCTTGGGCTGGGACATCTTGATAAACATGCAGCCGATGAGGAAGGCGTCCACGATGGAGCCCAAGATGGACTGGAAGAGGAAGAGGATGATCCCCTCGGGGCACTTGTCGGTGATGTAGCGGTAGCCATAGCCGATGGTGGCCTCGGTCTCGATGAAGAAGAGGAAGGCAGAGGGGAAGTTGTAGACATTGGCCACGCAAGGCGTGTAGTTGCCTACGTGGGCTTTGTTCAGGTCGCCCCGGGTGTAGGCGATCACCCACCACATGGACGCCATGAAGAGCCAGGCCACGGTGTAGGTGAGGATGAAGATGAAGAGGTTCCAGCGCCACTTGAGGTCCACCAGGGTGGTGAAGAGGTCCGAGAGATAGCGGCTGGTCTCGCTGCCCAGGTTGCCGTGCTGCACATTGCACCGGCCGTTCTTGTCCACGAACCGCTGCCGCTTCTTCTTGGGCACGAGCTGCTGCTGTGGGCCCTGGCCTGGCGCCTGGGGCTGCAAGCCCGAGCCGCTGGACGAGGTGGTCACTACCTGGTAATCGTCCCCAAATTTCCTTCGGAGTGCAGACATAATACGGAGGGGCGAGCCAGATTTCAAACGCGAAGCGAAGGCGCAAGAGCCGAGCGAGCGCTGCAAACCAGCACCAATAAGGAGGTGGGGGTGGGGGACACGGGGGGAGTGAAAGCAAGCGCCCCGAGGTGGGGGCGCCCCGAGGTAGGGGCGCGCCGGGCAGGTAGCTGCGGGCCCCTGCAGACGCCTCTGCTGCTCCCTTGGGAAGGAGGCTGAGTCTTGGCAAAAAAAAAAAAAAAAAAGTGCTCTCCCACACTCAAGGCAGGAGGGAGGCAAGGACCGGCACCCCAAGACCAATTTTGCCTCCAATCTTTTCGAGGCTTCTCTTTGCTGCCACCACCAGCATCCCGGGCCAACTCTGGCCTCGCCTCGCCTCCCTGGGCTATTCTGCAGCTCCCCCAAACTGGACTGTTGGAAGATTAATGAGTTGACAAGAGACTCTCACCCCACCTGCCAACTCTCCAGGCGGCCCAGGCTGTGCTACCTGCTCGGACCAAACCCTCCCCCCTCCCCGCCGCTCCCCACTCTTCCCCGCCCGGCTCCCACCCCCAACCCCGGCTCTCCCGCCGCCTATCTTTTGGCCAAAATCCAGCCCACAGGCATGTCTGCCGGGCGCTGGTGGAGCACCCCCTCCCCAGACCCTCCTGGCTCACAGTTCCCCACTCCGGACTCCAGAGACTTGTCCTCCTGGCGTTTGCCGCCCGCCGAGTTTCCGCGGGCGCCACTAGGGCCCCCCAGAAGACCCTTGGGAGCCCCCAGGCCACCCCCGCGCGCTGTGGGGACGCAGCAGCGAGCGAACTCAGGACACTCACCCGGCCAGCCGGAGAGGGCAGGAGGTGGCGCGGCGGGCGGCAGTGGCAGCCTGGCCAAGCACTCTGCGTTCGCCGCTGTTTTCCTTGCCCCCACTTTTCCTGTTGTACCCCGGTGAACACCAATGCAGGTTCCCTAAGCTCCACACTCTTCCTGAGGGCACCTTGCTGGCCCCGCGGGAAAAAAAAAAAAAAAGAGCCTTCCAGGCCAAGCACTGACTTGGGCGCAGTGTGTCTTGGCGCTGCGCCCTGCTTCCAAGCGACAGCTGTGCTCTTGTATGGGGTTCGAGCCTCAGGCTGCCGGTCAGACTTTCAGGTTAAACACTACCGCCGCTCCAAATTTTCCAGTCTTGGGGGGAAACCTTAGTCTCTTGCCCTCCAGGTTCCCTCCTCCCCGGCTGCTCTAGGTGGCCCCCGGTAGGGGATGGAGGTGGGAGCGGGGACGGCGGGAGTGTGGTGTGTGCTGGTGCGTATGATCAGCTGCAGAGCCGCGCTAGACCCGCCTGTCCCTGCCTTCCCCCGCTGCTCCACCAGCCTGAATTGCACCTCCGCGCCACAGTTGAGCCTGCAGTGTCTGGCAGCTCTGGAAAAGCTAGCCCCTCCAATAAGAAGCGGCTCTAAATCTGCTCCCAAACGCCAGCCAACTCTCCTTCCTCGCCCCCCTGCATCAGTCAGAAAGCCCCCAGCAAGCAGCAAATGCTGCTCTCTGACGGAAGAGAAGTACAATATGTCTCTAACTGGAGCTTGCATTTAAAAGGATGCTTGCATTTGAGAGTCCATTATAAAAACAGATCCCAATTGGCTCCTGCAGAGGTGCAAAACTCAAAGTTGCAATTGAGGGTAGGGGGACAGGATGACACCGGAAAGTAGAGGGTCCACTGAAAGGAAAGCTTCACCATCATTGAGGAACATAGCTCTACTCAAAAGGCTCGGACTGACCAGGGTTAATAAGTGGCTAAAGTTGAAGGAAGGCTGGATTTTAATAGCCTAAGATTCACAGTTAATGGAGGGCAAAGTGCAAAAATACCTAAAATAGTAGCCATGAGTAAATACTTCTTTATCACCTTTCTGGTTTGTGTTTTAAATGCACATTGTATATATTTTATGATATATTTTATTCCATCCAAATACATAAAATTTGTTTCACTGGAAAATTATCAAGTGAAGAGGTTAGTTATAAAAACAAAATATTGCATTTATGCAAGGAAAAGAATCTTACTGTAACCAGGCCAGATCTCTGCAATACTAGTCTCTTCTGTTTCTCAGCCTCAATATAGGGAAGTGTGTGTCAGCCATAGGCAAATACCCAGCCCCACTTACAGGCACATCTTCTGCAGGTTCAGCAACTCTCTGCTGGTCTTTCAAGATTACATAACAAGGTAGAGTGACACCATGCACAGGAGAAACAGCTCTGGCCCTGGAATCATAAGACCTGATGTGAAATGTGTGACCTTGAGCAAGTACCTGGGTATCTTTGAGGCCCAGTTTTCTCCTTTGAAAAATGCAAGTTGAGATGATAAAACAAACAATGAATGTATATTTCACAATTAGTAACTGCTAAAAGATGCCCATTGTTACTGGTTGTCAAGTAGATTTTAGATTTCTAGGCTACAATCTTAATAGGAATACATCACTAGGACTTCCTCAGACCCCTTGTGGACCTGCTGGGTATAGGGAGCATTCAAACTACCAACTAATCTGTATTTTAGCAGCCAATGCTTAACCATTTACTTCACTAGAGCTCTTCAGTTGCTATATGTTTCATTGAGAAATTTCAACAAGGCCAAGTTGAGAGTATGGATGATTAAGCTCACAGCTAACAACGTGCTGTGATTTACAAATATATTCTCTTAGCATAGCATCTCTGATCACTTTACCCATCTTATCAGTCCATGGCTAGGCTGACTTCTTTCAATTTCCCAGGCACCTCAAACCAGGATACCTGTCCTTGGTTCCATGTGCTTTCTGTTTTGTCCACCAGGAAGGTTCTTGCCTTTGCCACTTCATGCTTGATCATCAGGTCTCAAGCCAAAGGCAAATACATCAGAAAGACTTTCCCTACCCTTCTAAATATTCTGTCTCATTTTCTTTATAGCACTTGTAAAAACTATTCTTTTTCTTCTCCTTGATTTATTGTAATCATCTCTAACATACCCCATTCTAGAATGCAAGCTCTACAAATCCTGAGCCTTTTTAAAAGTTAATTCATTTTAATGAAAGTTTACAGATACTTTGGATTTCCATTCATTCATTGTTGCACTTTTTCCCCTGCCCAACCTCCCCACCAGTTTGCATAAAATAGATAGATAGATAGATAGACAAATAAAGTACAAAAACAAACAACCCCCAAATCCTGGGCTTCCTGTGTTTCCTTAACTGCTCCTGGATCTTGTGTGATTTTTTTTAACTGCTATGTCCCTGTATCTGAGACAACATATTGGGACCTCAGTAACTACTTGTTGGGTTTATTACAGGTACTAATTTAAACCACTAAAAAGGGTCTGAGTATAGAGAATATTGGTAATGTTGTTGCTGTTCTTGTTATGTTACATCAGGTCACCTGCAACTCATAGTGATCCTCATACAACAGCTCTGAACCCTGCTCTATCCTGTGCCAAGTTTACTGTCTCTGACACACCTACCTCCATCACCCAAGCCATTGAGTCAATCCATCTTATCGAGGTTCCTCCTCTGTTGCACTGTCTTTCCACCTTCTCAAGCATAATGCCCTCCTCCAAGGAAATAATTATAATACTAAGAGAAAAAAAGTAGTAGAGAATTTAAAAAATCATCACAAAATCATATTAAATAATATAGAACTGCGTATTAATAAAAGTATTTTGTGTTCTTGTTTGGTTTTTAATTGATGTTTAATCACCTGCCAAGTCCTTTTGAACATACATATATACTCTATCAGTATATACCCTCTTTTTCTTCAGAAAATATAATTAATCTTCTCTAGATCTCTATTTTGGTTTTGGCCCAAATGCAAATTATTTGTGCACTTTTTGTCTTTCTTTTCTTCCAACTGTCCTCTATAGACCTCTTTCCTTAGAATACTTTAAACTTAGCAGAGAAATTAAAATGAAAGGGTTCGCTCATTATTTCATTTCTAAGCTTTAAATTTTTCTGCTTTCCAAAAGATACTTTTCCATGAACCATGTTGCTACTTTCCAACCATCAAGTTCAAAAGCAAACAATTTTAGTTTAATACACGATTTAGTCTACATCTCTCTTTTTTAAAAGTGAGGCCATTTGAAAGAGAATAAAAAGTGAGGGAGAAATTCCAACATTGTACTCAATGTCACCTTGTTGTTCAGTGGAAATTTTGAGATTTGAACCCAGAACAATGTATTTCTGAGACAGCTGATGTACCATCTCTTATTTGACAGTGGAAGAATTAAAAAGAAATCTGAAATGTTTGTGCAATGGTTGGGTTCTCCTGTTATTTCACCATGCTATTTGTTTAGATAAAAATCCAGAGAACAAACAAAAAGCAAACAATCATCCTCTAGTCAGTTCTAACATGTGACAAAACCATTGCGTCATGCTACAACTTTGTTTTTTAGTGTTCTCAAAGACTGGTTTTCTAGAAGTAGCTTACCAAGTTTTTCCTCTAAGGTAAGGTGCGTCTGATACAGGCTATGGTCTTTGCAATCACTTGTTAATGCATCAGAGAGTTGGACAATGACTAAGGAGGATAGAAGAATTGATGCCTTTGAGCTGTGGTGGTGGAGAAGAGTATTGTATGTACCCTGGACTGTCAAGAAAACAGACAGATTCATCCTGGAGAGAGTTAGACCAGGCTGCTCCTTGGAGGCAAGGATTCTGGGGCTCCATCTGACATACTTTGGGCATGGTGTAACGAGAGACAGGTCCTTGGAGAGAGACATCATGCTTGGTAAGGTGGAGGGACAGCGCAGGAGGGGAAGGCCCTCTATGAGGTGATTTGATTCAGTGACTGGGGTAATTGAGACAGGCGTGTCAGAGGCAGTGAGATTGGCACAGGATAGAGCAGGGTTTAGTGCTGTTGTACGTAATAGGGTCGCTATGAGTCGCAAGCAACTCGACGGCACATAACAACAACTCCTGGGTAAACTGGAACCACCTATCTTTTGGTTAGCTGCTGAGCACATTAACTGTTTGAACTGTTCAGGGATTCCAAAGGCCTCCAAAATTTGATCTTATTTGTCTCTTATCTTCCAACTTCCCATTACTTTAAGCTCTCTGTTCCAGCCAACTTTGCCACTTACAAGAACTTCACTTCTTCATCATCTTCTTCCTATCCATTGTAAACCCCAAATTACAGTCACTAGGGAAGAAACTTTATACTTTAATTTAGATTCTGCATCTAACATGAGTGGTAAGGAGCTGCACTGCAATCCTGAAGGCATGCGGTTCGAGGCCAACAGCTGCTCTGCAGGGAAAGAATGGACAATCTCTTCCCGTGTGATTAACTGCCTCTGAAAACCTACCTAGGATCAGCTATGGGTCGGTTCTGACTCTACGGAACACAACAACAGCAGCAGTAACAATTCTCCCACTAACAATAATCTTTTCCCTCTTTGGTCTCTTGTTCCCTGGGATCAGCATTGTGGCATCTTTCACTTTCTAGCTTGCATTCCAGTTTATCTTTCACTGAGATTTCTTACTGTAAAACGG